AGAGAAAGGGAATAGCCAGATACATATGACTGTGGGTGGTCTGGGCCTTGGGACATGTTGAATGGTGGAAGGACAGGTTGGCAAGGTGATGTGTAAGGGACCCCGCTGCTGTCCATTGTGGGTGGCTGTGCTGGGCCCATTCTCCCTGCCTGCTTGGACTCCTTAATGTTCTCACATCTGAACCTGCAGACCAAGCCTGTGGACCCAACTGTGGATGGGGGTGCACAGGTGCAACAGGTGGTCAACATTGAGTGTGTATCTGATTTCACAGAGGCACCTGTTCTCAACATCCAGTTCAGGTGAGGGGTGCGCCTCCTGTGTCCTTTCCCAACCTGGGTGCTTCTGCTCAAGGGAGTTAGTTAGTTATTGCTGTGCCGCTGTGCATGCCTGCAGAGCACTGCCAGACCTGGAGCTTTCAGGGTATAGGAGCAAGTGGAGAGGGACTGGCTTCTGTGGCCATGATGTGGTTCCCATGGGGTTGATCTCCTGTGTGGTCTGCAGGCTAGGCTATTTCTGAACCAGATGATTTTGTGGTGAGAAATGGAAGGTCCTGCTTCCGGGAGGCAGAGAGCCAGGCTCTCTCTGCTGCCTGCTGAAGCTGGCTTGAAAGGCCATCTTGAGGGATAGTAGTAGCTGGTTTGGAGCTAGACTTCTGGGTCATAGCATGTAGCCTTCTTTTTAGTCATTACAGTGGTTCCTTGTTGGGGAGCTACAAGGCTAATTGATTTGGTAGTCTACTTGGGCCTGTCCTGGGTCTTCATTTGCCAAAGGAGCAGGGCTGAAAGGAACTGGTCCTCTGACACTTGGCACAAAGCAGTTGCTTGGTCCCTTGCTCACCTGTGAATGGTGTAGATATGGACTGCAGCAGAAGGAATGGACTGAGAATGTGGCTTAGCCCCTCCAGGAATACTGCTGGTATGCAGTCTTTGTGGCTATTATTGAGATGGGTGGCCACATGACTCTTCTCTAAGTGCTGAAGACTCAATTAACTGGAACATTTTGGCCAAGCGTTTGTTCTCCATAACATGACTCTATTGTTACAGGTATGGTGGGACCTTCCAGAATGTGTCTGTTAAGCTGCCCATCACACTCAACAAATTTTTCCAGCCTACAGAAATGGCTTCTCAGGATTTCTTTCAACGTTGGAAGCAGTTGAGCAAGTGAGAGGGCTGTACTATGGGTGGAGAAGGGAATTTGGGGGCTGTCCCTAGACAGGATGCTCAATGGGTCTCAGCATGGCTTTTAGTACTAACATGCTGCTTTTTATAGTCCACAGCAAGAAGTGCAGAATATCTTCAAAGCAAAGCATCCGATGGACACAGAGATCACTAAAGCAAAGGTAAAAGGGTGTATGGTGATATAGCTGAGGCAGATGTTGTTACCAGTGCATCCTGACCTGCCTCTTCACTCTTGTACAGATTATAGGATTTGGTTCTGCACTCCTTGAGGAAGTTGATCCAAATCCTGCAAATTTTGTGGGTGCTGGCATAATACATACCAAAACCACCCAGATCGGCTGCTTGCTGCGCCTGGAGCCAAATCTGCAAGCTCAGGTGAGGTCTCCACAGTAGGAGGATGGATATGATTGTGTTGCTTTTTATTTTGGTGAGGTTTATTTAAAGAGACACGCAGATTCTAAGTGTTGGTGGTCATGGTGATGGTGCACACACTTAGACAGCTACTGGCCACCAGAGCACATAGATTTCCCTCTCCTCACAGAAGGCCTGGTGTGCCACCACATGCCCATGTAGCAGCCTAGCCTGAGCTGTGTGTGCGTAGCTTTCTTGGTGCTGTCTTGTTGTGCCTCCTCTCTGAGTGGTACGCATTCTGCTTGCCTCAGCAGTGCTCCTCTGGAGACTCCAGCCTGTGTGTTCTGTTGTTTGTGGATGCTTGTTTTCCCAACACTGGGGTGCTTTGGGGGTGTAGTGGTCAGCTCAAAGGTCGTGCATAGTTAACTTGATGAGAAGCCCTCAAGCTGGTTGTGTATGGTGGTGCGTGCCTGTAATCTCAGTACTCAGGAAGAGAAGGCAGCAGGAGTACCAGTTCAAGGCCAGCCTGGGCCACACAGTAAGACTGGGTCTCAAAATACAAGACAAAAGAAAGAGCTTCCCCGAGTGACTGCTGACCCCCACCTCCGCTAACAGCCTCTCCCTTGCTGCAAACGCTTGCTTTATTAGACCTTTCTATTTTGACTGGTGAAACAGTGGTGCGTCGGGAGGGGTTGCTGCGAACGGTGAGGCCTGGACCACAAAAGTACCTGCTGCTCAGTGCCCGCTCACCTGCTGCTCTCTGTTTCAGATGTACCGACTCACGCTGCGGACCAGCAAAGACACCGTCTCTCAGAGACTATGTGAACTGCTGTCGGAACAGTTCTAATCCACAGGCCAGAAGATCAGGCTCTTTGTTTGTGCGTCTCTCTTGTCTCTCCCGTTGTCTTTGTACCACACTGCAGATAAACACCCCTTGTCTGAAAAGCTGCCGCTCAAGGCCCCTCCAGTCCTGCACCTACAGCCAGCCCCTTGGGTGTGGAGAGAATCAGGACACAGTTTGAGAAGGGCTGCAGCAGGCCTGCCCCGTCAGAGAAGGGTGCCTGGGCCTGGAAAATCCAGACAGCCCTGTGGTTCAACCTACAAATTAAAGGGAAATTAGAAGTTTGAACGAAAGTGGAAATTTTGTTCAAATTTTATTAAAATGCCACTGACTCATTCTCAGAATCCAGAAACAGCGCCATGTGCTTATAGGGTTAACACAGGATGTGTGGCCCTGCTGGACGGTGACAACAGTGGCTTAGAGGTGTGTGGCCTCATGGGTTGAACAGTTGATGGGGTTTGCTATAGCACTGCTGATGGTGCCGGAGTGCTTGTGTTTATGACTGTTGGCAAGCTCCATGCCCCACTCCTGGCAGGGTCCTGTGCCTAGCATACCAGTGTTCTTGAAGGGACAGTTGAAACATTTCACCACATAGTTGAGACCTTAGGTTTGCAGCATGGTGGGTAGAGGGGTTCCTATTGACTTTGGAAGACATGGACATCACCCATCTTCTGTTTTTAATGAATGTACTGTCTCTGTGGTACATTCTGGGGACTTGAAGGTTAATGGGTCAGGTGGTGAAGTAATAATTCATAAGGTGTGCTTCTCTCCAGAGGGTCTTAGTTGGTGCCCCAGTGTTGCGTTCTCACTTCTGTGAAGCCCTTGTGATTGGGTGGAAAGGGAGACCTAAGTGTGGTAATGGAGGGAGAGGCGGGGTGAGAATGGCAGCCCAGGCAGGTGCTGTGCTAAGGATGCACTGGACTTCCTAGCTTGAGCACTGGCAGCTCAGTTGTTAGTTAACCTCTTGTGAGCATTGCACTGTATGTGCAGCCCATCAGGGGACGAGCATAGACCATGTCAGAAGCCTTGGGAGCCCAGGCTGGGCCCTGCACTCTGCCCTGAGATGATGCCCGGGATTGCCGTGGACTCAGCTGTACAGGTTTATCTGTACTTAGACAGCAGTGTTGATGACCCTTGCTCACTAGAGCACTAGGTATGGTCCCCTATGCATGAGGTTTTTAGCCTTAGGCTGCCAGCCTGCCATGGTGGGTTTGAGGACAGTGGCAGGGCTCCTATCCCACTCAAGCTCCTGCAGCCCCACTCTGTACAGCCCAGGCAGTTAGTTTCAGAACAACCAATACCTGCTATGCTGACCCCTTGTGTTCCATGAAGCCCTTGGTCTGGCTGTCATGTGTTGTGATCCACACTTGCCATGGCACAGGCTTGTGTTGCAGAAGAATGATCTGGCTGTGGCCACAGTGAGCCTCTGGAGTTCTCTTGCTCCAGTAGCTGGACAGTGTGGCTCTCCATTATGTGCAATTCATGCACTACTGCAAGGACCATGTGGCTAGCTCAACCTGTGTGGCTGTGGCTTATGTACCATGTGCTACCCAGTGGTGGTGTCTAGATCAGTAATGCTCCAGCACATGGAAGCTGCTGGGGCACAGGCCTGCCCTCTGTGACTCCTGGGCCTTCATCAGTACAGTGTGCTTGTTCTCAGAGATTTAAAAAAAATAAATGCTAGGACAGGAAACTGGAACATGTGTGTGATCTTTGTGGGGAGTGTCCTATGCTGCCCTTAGTCTGTGCCCTGCGGAATTAAGTGCTTCTCTCCTCTGCCCCAGTCTGGGGCTGCACATGAGAGATGGTCCTTGTCTGGGGAGCCTGGAAGATAATGGCTTTCCCCACAGAATCCCAGATGGGTGCAGCTCAAGACCAGGGCTGGTGGTCTTTCTGTCTTAGCCCCACATGGACCTGGACAGTCCCAGGTCCTAGTGGCCTGGCCTGTGCAGGTGTTTGTGATATCATGCTCAGGATTCTGGAAGACAACAGCAACATGTACACACCAGGTTCTGCCTTGAAAAGAACCAGTTTATTTGCAATCTACTGACTTGTTGGGTGATGGCCTCCTGCCCAGTGGGTGCCAATGCATTTTGCTTCTCCCTGCCTCTGGGGAGACCTCCTTTCCTTGTGCCTCTTTGGTGCTTACCCTGCTGCCTGTCCCTACCCAAGGCTCATACCCCTGCATCTTCCTGTTATTCCCCATGTCTCCCCAGATGCCCTGCCCAGTCTTCTCAGCATCTGCTTTGGATGTTCTGATCTCTTGGGTATTATAGCCAGAGGCTGGGAGGTGCTATACAGGTGGACAGGAAATTCCCAGGGCATCAAGGTTGAAGAGATGTTGGTAGTTCATTTCCACTGAAGGCCTGTTTTGCTTGGTCACGGTCTGCAGGAGGTACGTGCTAGGAGGCTTTGTGTGACAGCTGTTGCTCCGTTTCTCTGCTGTCTCCGGATGAGCCTTGTCCAAGGTCTCCTTGAGGCCATGCCCATGGCCAGTAAGGGGATTGCTTGTTACAAGTGTTAGGGAAATATCAGGAATGGCTGTGTGTGTGTGTGTGTGTGTGTGTGTGTGTCTGTCTGTCTGTCTGTCTGTCTGTGATCCTTGTGCTCAAGAAACCACTTGCTGTTGTTTAGTCCTTGCATTGCAGGGGGCTACATACACAGCTGCTGAACACTTGGAGGGTGAGTGTGAGCTGCTGACCTGGTGCATTGGGATCGGGGCAGGGCAGGGAGAGTCGCTTCTCGTAGGTGCTAAGGGGCTGGCAGCAGCCACAGCGGGTCTCCAACTGCAAGGTGTCCGTATTGAGACTGCCAAGAAGCAGAGACCAGCAGGGTCAGGATTGGCCCTCTCCTCCCTGGCCAGTCCCAAAGTAGAATGGATACAAGCTGATTTGTAGGCCAGGCTCTCAAGAACCAACGTCTGCTCACGGGCAATTAAAGTGTGGCCAGAGTGCACTGCCTAGACCAGTGGTTCTCAGCCTTACTGATGCTGCATCCTTTAATATAGTTCCTTGTGTTGTGGCAACACTCAACCATAAATTTTCACAGACTTTAACTAATTTTGCTATTGTTATTAATCATAAGTAAATATTTGTGTTTTCTGATGATCATAGGTGACTCTGTGAAACGGTCATTTGATCCCCCCAAGGGTCATGACCCACAGGTTGAGAACCACTGGTATAGACCTCTTGGTAGGTGTGGGAAACACTGAGAACCCAGCTCCTAGGAGAGTTCTGGTCCCTGCAGAAAGGAGGGTGTTTACCAACAACTCACCTGACAGAGGAGGCGCAGAAACCCTGGCAACGAGTTAGAGTCACGTTTGCCATGCAGCCCTGGTAGATAATCTGTTGCTCCTCTTCCTGCAAGCTGCAGGCTCCTGGAGATGGAGGTCCAAGAGCAGGTCTCAGTCACTTCTAGTCCCCCCCCCTCCCCCAGCTCTCTCCTCTGTGTAGCTCCTTATCCCTCCAGTATTCAAGGCTTTCTGAAAGAATCTGGCATTGAACCAGGCCCAGGTAGATCTGAGTCAGCCCCCAGGAGTCCTCAGGAAAGGTGTCTTATGTCTGTTGGATATAGGACATGCTAAGGGCCAAAGGAAGGTGTTGAAGAATGTCCATGTTCCTCACAAAAGAACACACAGGATCTGAGAATAAGCATTCATTGTACCACCTGGGGTAAGGAAGAGCAGAGAAAACCTTTTGCTTTGGGCTTTTGGAAAGGTTTCAGAGGCCATGGCAGCCAGTGACAAATGGTGGTGGTGATGCCTCATCAGGCAGGCAGACTGTTGACCTTAGGAATTGCCAGTGTGGGCAGTGTGTGTTGTTGGACACCTGTAAAATCATCACTCAGGAGGCATATGTAGGAAGTCTGTGAGTTCAAGAAGAGGCTGGGTTACAAATTGCCCATGTGGTACTTAGATTAAAAAGTTAAAAATTGGGGTTGGAGGCCAGGCGGTGGTGTCACACAACCTTAAATAAATAAAATACAACAAAAATTGGGGTTGGATTTAATCCCAGCCCTTGGGAGACAGAAGCAGGTGGATCTCTCTGAGTTTGAGGCCAGCCAGAGAAACCGTGTCTTGAAAAACAAAACAAAACTAAAAGTTGGGGGCAGGTAAGACGGTTCAACAGGTCCCTAGAATTCACATGATGAAAGAATGGGATCCTGCAAGTTTCCACATAGCACACACGTAGTTTAAGTTCAAAAATGATTTGTGGGTGACAGATAGGCTCCGTATATCATCTCTCTCTTATGCTCCAGTTTATTCCTGCCCTGCTTCTCTAAGAGGCTTGGGGAGGGTCTGGTGGCCTTCTGTTCTCTGTCCTACTTCCTCAGGCCATTTTCTTGGGAAACAGCCTGAACGTAAAGTGACAATATGTAACTGTAAGACAAGAACTGATTGTTGGCTCTGTGAGGACTTCCTGCATGAGGGAGGCCTAGAGCATGTATGGGGAGCCTGGCCGCAAGATGGGTGTCTTGAGAGGAACAATCAAATCAAGGGTGTCCTAGGAGTATGTGTTGAACTCATGTTCCTGTGCAGGCTGACACTGTGTAGGGATCACTGCCCTGTGGGGAGCCCTGGTCGTTGTTGGAGAGGAGAGCTAGTGGAAACCATGGGCAGCAAGAATTGTACATACTCGTTTCCAGGCCTTGCCTTGCCTCTGTCTGTCCCCACCTCTGCCTCCTGCATGTCACCTGGGATGAGCCGTGCCTGGACTAGGATATAATTTCCTTCAGCACTGAGGTAGAATACGTGCCTAAACTCAGGGCAGAGCCAGATCTCACTTGCTAGCTTCCCAAGGGGCAGGTGTGGAGGGCCGCTTAGAAAAGTTAGGACCAAGGGAGGCACATGGGCCTAAAATGTATGGGGATCAAGTCTCCCAGCCAGACTGGGAGAACAGAGACTAGTGTTCCTGAGAGGTGAAGAGAAAGGAGCTTGCTCTTAGATTCAGAAATGCCCCAAAGAAGCTCCAGGACCAGGCCTTCATGAAGGCACCAAGGGACAATGAGAGGAAAACACTAAACAGCAGACCACACTCTGTGAAGAATTCTGCTGGAACCTAAGCAGCCTAGGGAACCAGCCAATGGCGGCACTTACCAGGATCAATGGGTGGAGAGGAGACGGAGGAGTCCGGACTGGAGAGTGACACTGGGGTGGACAGTGAGGAACTTCCAGTGGGAGAAGCAGGACTGCTCAGGAACACAGATGTAGGCAGTGGGCTGGTACCAGGCCTAGTGGTGTGGTTGGTGTCTGGGGAACTTGGGAAGACTGTCATGCCCATGGTTGAAGACAGTAGCCCTGATGTAGAGGCTTGGGTGGTAAGGGAGGTAAACTGGGAGGTGGTGGACTTTGAGGAGAATGAAGAAAAGGTGGGCACATGAGATGTAGTCTTGGAAGTGGATAGAAGGCCACTGCTGGAGGTTGGACGGCTAGATGGGGTGGGAGTCATGTGGATGGTGGGGAGAGCAGAGGAAGGAATGGATGAGGTGACAAGGGGGGACACAGAGGAATTAACAGGAGTAGAGGCAGCAGTTGGAGACACAAAGGCAGAAACAGATGAAGGATGAGATGATGTGGGTTTAGTAAGCAGAGGGGAATGGGACACTGAGCTGGCGGTGGAAGTATACTGTGGAGGAGAACCTGCAGAACTTGAAGCAGGTGTGAGAGGGGACGTCATGGAAGAAGATGGCAAAGATGCTGAAGAACGAAAAGATGTAGTGGTGCCAGAGTGGGGCAGGAAAGAGGTGGATGATGTTACAGATGGGGAATGTGGGACATTAGTGAGAGAAACCAAAGTGGATGGAAAACTTGTTGGGAGAGAAGTGGCAGTTGGTAAGGATGGGAAGGAAGGGGAAACAGTAGAGCTGTGGGGCACTGAGGATGGACTCAGCTCCGAGGGAGAAGTTTTTGCTGTTGTGAATGAAGAGTAAACTTGGGTAATGGCAGTTGTAGTGGGAGTGATAGATGGTGCTGTTTTGAGGGAACTTGTACCCTTCATTGGAGTAGTTGGAAGAATGGTGCTCAATGGTATAGATGTGGAAGCTGATGATGCTGTGTGTTCAAGAGTTTGGGTGGTATGTATCACAGGAGTTCGTGTTACAGGGGAGGTTGAAAGAATTGAAAGTGGTGTGGACAAAGAGGTCTGAGGACCTGAAGGTGTTGGATAGGTGATGGTGGTCTGTGGGGATGTTCCTAAAGGAGAACCAGTGTTACTTGCAGTGCTGGAGACAGAAAGAGTAGGAGGAAGATATGTAGTGTGTGGAGTATGGGGACTACTAGATGTGCCAGAGGAGGTATAGACTGGCACAGTACCAGTTACACTCATGGTGGGTTTAGCTGATATGCTTGTAGCAGGAACTGACATGGATGGAATGCCTGTCATGGAGGAAGTTTCTGAACTGTGGGAAGGAGAGGTTCTTTCTGTGGAGAATGAGCTTTGAGCTTGTGTGGTGGCCATGGTTGTATAAATGACAGGAACTGATGTTTGTGGAGGGCTTGTGCCTTCCATTGTGGTAGGAAGAACAGTCCCTGGTG